AAGCAAGAGAAATTCCACCAAAACCTCCAATAACTATTGTAATTTTTTCTTTTCTTAGATTAAATCCTTTGGTCAGGTGTAAGCGTTTGTCTGCTGATAAGTTTCCCCACCACTTGCGGAAAGAACTGCAAGAAAAACAAACGCAAAGTCCAAGCTTAAAATCCAGGACACATACTGGGGCATACTGAGTTCCTGCAGACTTCCATCATGTTGTTGTAAAAAATATTCATTCCTCCCCCCTCCCCTCCCACCAAAGGTTTATAGCTTTTGAACCCCCTCCCTCTCCCCACTTCCTAACCCTACTGGAAGTTCTTGCCACACTTTCCTTTAAATGTTGGCATTTGAGATGCACTAATCCCTTGGGAATTTTCAAAACCTTTTAAGAGGGGAGGGATTAGTTTTTTTTTTTTTCAGGACCTCGACATCCCTCTCAAGTCTTGTTCATGTTATACTGTGGAGATTTAGGCTTCAAAACTCCACAAAGTAAAATCTAACATCTGCAAACTCACAAATTGAAAGTACTACAGTTCACTTTCAATGGTGGAGTGAAGAAGTTATTTAATTAGAGGACAGCACGAGGAGTAACCATTATGGACTTGCACTATTAGCGGAGGGGGGAGTGGGGGAGGGGTGTAGCACTTCATGTTACAAAATTTAGAACGAAGCAGGTTAAGTGCCACTTAAGCCTCACTTTGACTAATTATCATCTTACACTAGCTACTAAATCCCAAATCTAATCATCGCGCTAATAGTAAACAAATTAAACATGTTATAGTGAGCCTATTACCGTCCGCCTACGACAGCAACAAGTTTGATCACTTTTGAAAGAGGCCCAGCCAATTTAAAAAGAAGAGCTGCAAGTGGTGCTGCATGTCGTGGCTGACTTGTGTGAAATCCTCTGACCACAACATGAGAATGATTTCTACTCCAGTGATGAACTGAAGTCTTCGAGAATGTCGCTCGAAATAAGCTTATCCCAGGTTGTAGGGGAACGAGGGGAACTTGAATTCCGCCACTGACATTGGAACAGCCAAGATTCTTGAAGAGGAATCTAGAATGCCTTGAAAATGATAATGCAGAGCTGAGAAATGAATGCATTTTTCGCCATTCAAAGCAATCGTAAAAGTTCCGCCATGTTGCGTTTGGTTCAGGAGCGGTTACTCGGGAGAAGTTATCTCTTCATATATGCCGTAATCGATTGTCTTCGCTAGACATGATCAAACATGGCGTCGTTCTGGGACCTGTGTGACTGTTGTTTTATTCGGCACTGATGGAAAAGAAAGCTGTTTCTCCCGATTCCTCGACGCAACTCGCAGAGAAAAGCAGGAGCCCTAAGAAAAGAAAGCACAAACATCGGTAAATAGCCGTTAAGTTTGCCTACATTTACACGACACAGAAAACTGGGACTGGTCTTAATATATAAGCATTAATAAGCCAAAAGAAACATTAATTTTAAGTGCTCTGCTTTTACACTGATGTTTTTTCCTTGGGAATGAACGAAGTACATCCCATTCAATTTTCCATTGATATCTTTTCTTGCAATTTTTTCCTGTGAATCAACCTGTGGTTGTATCACTAGGAGTAGCATTTCTTCTAGAAACTCAAACAAATAATTGCAAAACTTGAATTATTGTTTGCAAAATTAAATGCTTAAATCACGTCGTAAAGTAGTGGGTAGGTGAGGTTACCCCATGGCACTGACACTCAAAGTGATGCCTAAAACCCTGTACTCCCCCCTCCCAACACAGGCCTAAAACCAAGTTCTACAATAATTGCCCCATACAGAAGTGAACGCCATTGTGTTAACTATCCACCCTCCTCTTCCCTTTAGACAAGATTTGCTGATGGACCTTTAAAAGTCATTTGTAAAGGAGTACAATGTAATCTTGTTGGGGTCAGGAAGAAAAATGACTTCTTGTTGAGGGGCAAAGAATAATTGGGCTACATTTATTTTTGAGGGAACATTGTATCAGCACTTTGATCTGTTTTTGCTCTAGGAGGTAACTTGTTATTGAGGTCTGTTAGTATATCAATTTTATTTTGTACTCACCTAGATTCAAAAACCCAATCTGTGGCTTAAAGTAGTCTATCCTCATCTCCACTTGGCTACGCAAGCAAATTATTGTCGCAAAATTCCTCTTACATGTATCTGTTGATCTAATAAGTTACTGGTCCAAGTCTTCTCCTCTGACTTGAATTTAACCAAGTTGAAATCATTCTGACCTAAATACATTTTAAACTACAACATCATTATTAATACATTTAGTGGAATGGTCTATACCAATATGACATTGTTCCTCACTTTTAACATTTTTCTCTCCAAAGTAACAAGAAGAAAAGCAAACAAATCAAGTCATCCAGCTCATCAGTGGATGTCGATAGTGATAACATCAGAACAGGGAGCAAAAGCAATAAGGCCAGTAATGAGAGCATTAAAAATCTTACAGAGTTCCTGGACAACAGAAAAGAACTTCATGCACAGCTGTTTAGCATCGTCCCCAAGAAAGAAGTAAAGGAGATGATGCCAAAAATTTTAAAGGTACAACTTGATGCAAAGTTTTACAATTTAAAGTAACAATGTTGTGATATTTTAAGCCATTTTCTGATTACTTTTTAACTGAAAGAAATATCAAAATAATAATTTCCTTAAGGTAGGATAAAACTAAAAGTGTAATACAAAAAAACAAAATAGATAAAGATGTCCATGACTTAGAAAGATTTAGATGGATCACAAACGAAAGACTTGAAGAATTGGCCAATTTTTTCAAGATGCATGGTCCATGACGTAGCTCTTTTAATAATAAGTAAAGACGAAATGTTGGTTGTTGTGTAGGATGAATGCAAAGAGTGTCAAGATCAGTTGAACACTGCATGTTGGTTAATTGACTAGGTTCAGCCTTCGCATGCACACCAGCATTTTAATCCAGTTTGCTGGCATATTCTTTAAGCTTAACCATGAGGTGAACAGGGGCAGATCCAGGATTTTTCAAGGAGGGGGGGGGGCTAGTATCTCCATCATCATCAGTCCTTGTAGCCCACGGTGAGGCATAGGGCCGCATGGTATCTTGCGGGTTGTAGAATCAATAGGGTAGGTTTCCGAAATGTTGCAATTTGAGAATTGAAACCTAAGTGAAAATCATTTCACTAGAAATAATAGCAATGCCACAAAGTAGCTAAGAAATGATAATGAGGTACACAGAGTTTGCCTTTATTTCTACCATAATATTCAGAACCTTTTTCAAATTTTTTATGTTTGCTTCTCCAAAAGGGAGTGGCTAACAACCCAATCCATCCAACCC